TATCTCCTCGCTCTTCTGCTATCTTGATACCAAAATTTTGTTAACGAAATTGCAACTTTTGATAGTTTGAAACAGAAATCGAGTAAGTATGGAAAAATGTTATTTCTGCTCCGATAGAAGGGAACAGAGTATATTTTTAAGATCTTGACGTTCCATTCTATACACACGGCGATTTTTTTAAACTTTTTTTCCCCAAAAAAAAAGGAAAGGGTATAAGCCTTCAAAATTTTTTGAGATAAAATTTTTTTGTCTCCGATTTCAATGAAAATTTGGCTACATGTCAAAGAGAACAATGCAAATTAAGGGGTGGATTCAGTTGCTTCTTATTGACAAGGGTTTTATTTTATTTTTAATTTCCTTAGTTATTAATAATCGAATCATTCTCTAAACATTCTCAAAACGTAGAGCCGAATGGATACAATAAAGTGCTCTTTGTAGTTCGTCCCTATCCCACGTCGTTTAGGATATATTCAAGTTTTTATATCCGTCGATTTTGCGTTACCCTGAATGGCAATGACAATTTGATGAAGAAACTTAATTTTGCGTTACCCTGAATTATTATAGTAATTTGATTGAGGAACCTAAATATCTCCTCGCTCTTCTGCTATCCTGATACCAAAATTTTGTCAACGAAATTGCAACTTTTGATAGTTTGAAACAGAAATCGAGTAAGTATGAAAAAATGTTATTTCTGCTCCGATAGAAGGGAACAGAGTATATTTTTAAGATCTTGACGTTTCATTCTATACATACACCGATTTTTTTAAACTTTTTTTCCCCAAAAAAAAAAGGAAAGGGTATAGCCTTCAAAATTTTTTGAGAAAAAATTTTTTTGTCTCCGATTTCAATGAAAATTTGGCTACGTATCAAAGAGAACAATGCAAATTAAGGGGTGGATTCAGTTGCTTCTTATTGACAAGGGTTTTATTTTTTTTTAATTTTCCTCAGTTATTAATAATCGAATCATTCTTTAAATATGCTCAAAACGTAGAGCCAAACGGATATAATAGAGTGCTCTTTGTAGTTCGTCTCTATCCTAAGCCGTTTAGGAGATATTCAAGTTTATATATCTGTCGATTTTGCGTTACCCTGAATGGCAATGACAATTTGATGAAGAAACGATATACTAACTAAAACTCTTGGCAAAATTGTATCGAAAATAAGAAAAGTTAGGTTAGAAAGACTCTCAATTTTTCTTAGAAAACATTCGGTTATCAATTAAGTTTAAAATATTTGCTCCTAAACAAAATTTCAGTCGTTTTACTCTTGCTATTTGACTAAAAAGTTGATCGATCACTGTCCTTGTGTATCTATAAAACGCTTACTCGAACAAACCATCCCCACTCAATTTTATAGATGTTTCGCTCTTTCTAATGCGGCAGTCGATGCGTCAGCTCTATGTTCCTTTTACATAAAAAAACGAGCCGAGTTCTTGCAACTATATAAGAGCTTAATTATGAAGTATTGGATTAATTTAATAGTTTTTCGTTGTTGTGTTATATATACTTGCCTTAACGCATTTCATGTGGAACAAAGTCTTATCCCTGACCCAAATCAGGTCTATCTGTAATCCTATATCTAAATTTGGTTACTAGCTCATCAAACGGCGTCGGTTGGTCGAGCGATACAAAATGCCTGCTTGGGATAAAAGGGTTTTAAACAGTTTCACTGTAAACCCAGAAATACGATATTAACCCGTGATTATTTCAGTGCTGGGCTACTATTTAAAATATGTATATAACTGTACGTAATATATATAATAGCAATTAGCTGATATTATTATTATTATTATTATTATTATTATTATTATTATTATTTTAAAATTAAAATACACACAACCAAACTTATAAGAAATCATTTATTATTTTTCATAATTTTTATGAATAAGACTCAGTCCTTACCAAAGACTTTTAATGACAAATTACCCACGTGGTAATAAAAATAATCAATTAGTTGACAAAATATGAATTGTAACAAGTTCCTAAGATCTGACACTTCAGTGAATGTCCTAATTAAAAAGGATGGAATCGTGGAAACCATTGTATCATATGTAGGTTTCACCACACAAGATGAAAAGATGATATAAGTAAAATAAAAGGGATGCCAGCAAACAAATCATTACCAAAGCATAAAATTATGATTGTAAATTATCTTTAGCATCATCTTTTGTGTTTTTATTGTGAGTCAATATTCAATTCCACAAAGTAAGAATTTATAAGAATTAAAAATGGTATTAATTTAAAAGTATTATTTATTTTAATTTATAAATTAAAATGGGTATTTCCAACGAAATATAGTCACAGTAGATACAAGATTATTTTGTATATCGTTTAAGAATTGGGATTTTTCAACAAACCCAACAGAATTTAATAAAAACTAAGTTTTATAACCTAAACAGAAACCGAAACCGAATTTATATATTTCGGAAAATACAATTTTTCCGAATATGGGAAGTATGGGATGAATACAAATAGTTTAAAAAAATATTTAAAATAATAGAATTCCATCTTTCTATTTCACATAGAAACAATAATTTGGTTTAACTCGATAAAGTATGGAAACAAAAAGATGAGTTTTTACAAAGATAAAAATTATCAGTGGTATTACAATTAGCTTAGTTTAGTCTATATTAAAATGTTTGATAAATCTTTTATGTCTAGGTTCTATTTTATTTTGCGTCCTCATTACATTAAGTAGTATTAAATAATATAGTCAATTTCATTGATTTTTGCATGTAACTGTAATATAAGTAAAAGAAATCTGAAATAAATTCCAAAATCCGATGGGCGACAAAAAACAAGGAAAAATTAGAAAATTGTTTTAAAAAAAATTCGTTCCGAACAAGTTTCTAACCTGTGCCCTCCGGTATACCGTCTCAAGTTTATAACCATTTAATTTTTTCAGTTATTCGATTCGTATTCGGATTTTTAAAGAAACTTCTGTTATCTTCGCTTACGTAAATATTTTTTCGGAAGAGCCCACCATAAATATTTCCATATTAGAGATACCGCCCCTACTATATAATAATTATAATAATTAAATCATTCAATATACCTATATAAATAACAAAGAAACACTTTTGTTTACTACATCAGTTTAACTTTTCTTATTAAAGGTAAAAAATTATATTCCAATTATGAATACATCCAAATTATATTTAGCAAAAGTGTTAATATTAGTAATGGTAGTTACCAAAGTGACATGTGACAAATGTAATATTAAAGGTTATGCTGTAGGCCAAAATGCACACAATCTCTCCGGATTTATCAACTGCAAACCACCAATTCCAGATGTCAAATGTATAGTAACAATTTTCAACAAGGATTTTGATTTGGACAGAACTCTTCACAAAAACGAAATCTATTCACTTTTGGCGAGTCAATTTAAGGGCCAACCAAATATAAATATCGATGCGATATTTCCAGTTGATATTCAAGCTCTCGCTTCCAAGGCTACTTTCGGAAAAGGTTACTATTATGAACTAAAAAATAACGTTGTATTTGTATATTTTTGGAGAACGGATCGTAAGGGTTTTAATAATTGTTGATATATATTAAGTCTTTTGAATTAAATATTTAATAAAAGGAATATATATCTTTCTTATATCATATGCCTGTTCTCCTTAATAGGTAGATAAGTAATTTTTTCTATTATTAGCAATGTTTTCAGGTAATGTGATGCAATATTTCTATTATTTTATTAAGTAAACCTAAAAATTGCTCTATGCAACTTTTGATTATATCGGAAGTGACCAGTAACTTCGTTATTTTAAATGGAATACCATATATTTTTTAAAAATTTTAGATTTAGCATAAAATTCTGTAAACAATGATACCTTATTTGCTTATTTTAATTCTAGCTGATATAGCGTTATTCGATTGTTTTAAATTTTTAGTCACCGGTAGACATTTTCTTAAACGTCGTCTATCTCAGGTAAAATTCCTGTCAGGTACTTGAAATTTTAGCCAGAGGTAATAGATGAGATGTACTTTTCAGAAATATTTACTTGTACATCGTTTGTTATACGGGGTATTTGGAATTCATTTTTAAAAATAAAATATTTTAAACATGAAAATCTATTTTATTTTAAATGGAACACCCTATATATTTTAAAAATTTTAGATTTCGTTCTGTCCTACTGCTTTAGAACCTGTTTCTGCTATAACTCTGGGTGCTTTCAAGTAGTTGTGATTAGTCAGTTGTGGACTAAGGTCAGAGGTACAGAGAGAGGTAATTGGTAATTAGTAATAATCCTAAATACCCACCTCCACCCTTCGCGCAATTAGCAAGTACCTCCCATTCATGTACTGTGTATCTTAGATTATAATTACTATGTAGTGTAATGAGTTTAGTCTAAGTACATCTCAATGATTACTATTGTAGCATAGGGAAAATAAGTCTAAACTCATCCTTGACTCTCAAACGGCATAGCTAGAGGCTAGAGTGAAGCGCTAGTCTTCCGCAAACATGCAAGACGTAAACATTGGTGGAGGGAGTAGTACCCCACCCTTAGTAGTGGATTTTTTCTTTTCTTACTGGCAATGAAATTCTAGACGTATGTGTAATAATAAAAAATCCCTTTGAAAGCATTTTCTGTCGTCCGCTTTTACTATGTACTTCCTGTTTAGGGAAATCCTACACCAACACCGTAATTGCCAGGAATTTGGTTATTCTAGTATTAATATGCTTGGCGGTAGATTTGAATTGTTCGGACCTGCCCCCGTTTTCCCTACTTGCGATTAATAATATTATTTAGTATTCCTCATATATTACAGATCACAAATGCAATGAAAACAGCTGCCCGAAATTCCACACAAGTTATGTAATTCCTAAAGATAGCACACATATTATTATTAAGCTGTATTAAATTTTCAATCGCCCTCGTATTCAATTCATAATTAGTAATACTGATTGCATACCTAGTAGTAAATTATTGTGCAAACGCCACACTGTCAGAACGTCACAAACTAACACAAAAAAAATAAAAATACAAGTTTAAAAGTAGGGTTAGGACAGATGTAATTTACAGAGATTTTCATAAATATATAAATTTGCGTTAATAAATTTGATTTAATCTTATATGAAAAAGCAAATAAGCAGTTTGCAACTATATGCATGATTTATTATTGTTTTTAAACAAAGTCAGTGATAAGAAATCAGTTTGAAGGTCGCGATGAGGATTGGTGTTTTTTGCACCTTGACCACGTTAGTAGGATTATATAAAAGGTATAAGTCGAAGGTTAGTTGAGTGTAAACAAAGTAAACACAACAATGGGACCATTAGTAGGAGCAATAGATGAGGGAACATCAAGTGCAAGGTTCTTATTATTCAAAGCAGGAACTGCGGAAGTTGTAGCTTCTCATCAAGAAGAGCTCGCACAAATTCATCCTAAGGAGGGATGGGTGGAACAAGACCCCATGGAAATCCTCAGAATCGTGGAAAGTTGCATAGAAAACACAATAGACAAATTGATTTCACTAGGAGGATGTGTCGATGACATTGTATCAGTTGGAATTACAAATCAAAGAGAATCGACAGTATTATGGGATAGAATAACTGGAAAGCCTTTATATAATTCAATTGTATGGTTAGATGTACGAACATCATCTACTGTTGATATTCTTCTTGACAAAGGTATTTAAAAGCTGTAAATTAAATCAGTTTGTTTTTATTTTTAAATTGCAAACTGTTGAGACTTTATAGTTTTACTTATATTGATAGTAACCTATGGTTGTATCAAAGAGTAAAAATGACAAAAGAGAACAGTCTTAATATATTTAAATAGTACTTAGTTTGCAGTTAATTCAGAATATGTGCCTGATTGGATGCTTTTAATTGTCCAAATCTCATATCAATATTTCTTGTGGTTTTTTAGATTTTGTAGGAAAGGATTGTATTTTTTTAAAATTTTGATACCATGTAGCTTCAAAACAAAGTAAAATCTGACCTATATTTTTTGAATAAAGTCAGATTTTTATTTTCAGTTCCAAATAAAACAAGAAATAAAAATTATTTGAAACCTCTATGTGGCCTTCCTTTATCGCCTTACTTTAGTGGTGTAAAAATTAAATGGCTTCAAGAAAACATACCTGAAATTAAAAAATCCATGGCAGCAGGTACTTGCATGTTTGGTACCATAGATTCCTGGTTGATATGGAACCTAACTGGGGGAATAGAAGGTGGAGTGCATGTAACAGATGTTACTAATGCTTCCAGGACAATGTTAATGAATATAGATAACTTAAAATGGGATCCAGTACTTATTAACTTTTTTGACATTCCTAGCAGCATATTACCTCAAATCAGATCAAGTTCTGAGGTTTATGGTAGTATTAGCTATGGATCTCTGAAAGGGGTGAAGATAGCTGGTTGCCTTGGAGATCAACAGTCAGCTTTAGTAGGACAACAGTGTTTAAATAGAAGTCAGGTAAGAATATGATAATTGGATGAAACAATTTTGTCTACACTGTTTAAAGTCTATTCATCAATTTTAGGCAAAAGCAACATATGGAACTGGTTGCTTTTTGTTATACAATACAGGACCCATAAAAGTTAGTAGTGCCCATGGTCTACTTACCACAGTGGCTTACAAATTTGGTCCAGACACACCGGCCGTATATGCTTTGGAAGGGTCTGTTGCTATAGCAGGTGCAGCTGTAAATTGGCTTAGAGATAATCTTACAGTTCTACCTTCTTTTGGTGATGCTCAGGAAATTGCTGAAAAGGCTGAAACAATCGAAACTGGAGAAGTGTATTTTGTTCCTGCTTTTAGTGGGTTATATGCACCATATTGGCAGCAAGAGGCCAGAGGGTAACTATTTCATTTATTACAGAGTGTAACTGGGCCAAAATAAAATATAAAATTCTCTTAAATAAATTTTCCTTATAGAGTAATAGTTGGTATATCAGAAGATACAGAAGCATGTCACATTGTAAGAGCTACTTTAGAAGCTGTTTGTTATCAAACCAGAGATATTTTAGAAGCAATGAATAATGATTATGGATCTACATTATCAATTTTACAGGTAAAATTATTAAATATAGAAGTATTTACTTTATAATTATTATATAATAATATAATACCTTCAGAAATAAAAAATATATATTGTATAATACCTAAATAAATTAACAATAACCTGAGGGCTTTAATATTGCTGAGATTTTAATATAAATATAATAAATATTTTATAGTAGGTAAAAGGACTCTGCTCAAAATTAATCAGTTTACTACAGGTTGAAATGAAACTTAAGTTTAAAATTTGATGTTTTTCTCAAATATTTCGAAATTATGTATATGACAAGATTTATAAAGAATAATATTACAAATATTACAGATATATTTCATAAAATATAAAAATGACCCCTTATAAAGTACCCCCAGATGTTCTGACTCTGCTTAAAATTTAATTAGTTCATCGCAGGCCGGAATAAAGCTTAAATTTAAAATTTGATGTTTTTCTATCTATACGTTTTTGAGTTTTATTCAAAATTTACATTTTTTCTTAAATTTCTCGAATACGGACCATTTTAGGAAAATTTTGTATAGAATATAAATTATAGAGAATAATATTAGAAGTAACTTTTATTTGAAGAATTTTCTTCTCTAAACATAAATAACAGATATATTCCATAAAATATAAAAATAACCCCCTATAACGTACCCCCCAGATGTTCTGACTCTGCTTAAAATTTAATTAGTTCATCGCAGGCTGGAATAAAGCTTAAGTTTAAAATTTGATGTTTTTCTATTTATACGTTTTTGAGTTTTCTTCAAAATTCAAAATTTACATTTTTTCTTAAATTTCTCGAATACGGACCATTTTAGGAAAATTTTGTATAGAACATAAATTGTAGAGAATAATATTAGAAATAACTTTTATTTGAAGAATTTTTTTCTTTGAACGTAAATAACAGATATATTCCATAAAATATAAAAATGACCCCTTATAAAGTACCCCCAGATGTTCTGACTCTGCTTAAAATTTAATTAGTTCATCGCAGGCCGGAATAAAGCTTAAGTTTAAAATTTGATGTTTTTCTATTTATACGTTTTTGAGTTTTCTTCAAAATTGAAAATTAATATTTTTTCTTAAATTTCTCGAATACAGACCATTTTAGGAAAATTTTGTATAGAATATAAATTATAGAGAATAATATTAGAAATAACTTTTATTTGAAGAATTTTTTTCTCTGAACGTAAATAACAGATATATTCCATAAAATATAAAAATGACCCCCTATAAAGTACCCCCAGACGATTTTTTACTACTATACTATATAGCCATTTAAATACACACAACAATGTCACAATGCAGAAACTGATTTGTGATTACTTGTAAAGGAAACGAAGTAAAAGCATATTATTTTAATCTTATAGGTAGATGGCGGTATGACCGCAAACCCCCTTCTTATGCAAATGCAGGCCGATTTAGCCGGCGTTACAGTACAAAAACCAACGATGGCGGAAAGCACGGCTCTGGGTGCAGCCATGGTTGCCGGAGCTGCTGTTGGTCATTGGGATCTAGAAAAAACGTTGAACATTCCTTCGGTAAAATGGACGTCACAGTTTACAGAAAACGAAAGAGATATTCGTTATGCTAAATGGAAAATGGCCGTAGAACGTGCAATGGGTTGGGATATGTCTGTCTAATAATTTATATGTCGGATCAACATAAATATTTACTTATATTGATTTTTATTACAGAATCGCTGAATAAATAGTTCTCTTGGTACTTTATTCAAAATACTCTACTTCTGTTCGTTTGGTGGTCTGTTACATTTAAGAATGGTCACTGGCCTCTAACCTAAAGACGTGTATGTTAAAAGTTGCCTCTTACTTGAAAGTACATCTGTTAAAGGTGGCCTTTTACATAAAATACAGCTAACTATTACAGTTACAATTATTAAAATAATATATTTATACATCTACAATTTTATAGTCCTTTTTTGTTCCATCTCCTTATCTTACTGATAACATATGGGAATAATGGCTAGTTGAAATATCGTTAATGGACTTTGGGTGTGAGTTTTTGTCGTGGGTCGCTGCGTTCTTTGAAAAACTGTTTAAAAAATACAGGGTTGCATAAATATTAAGTTTGTTGGTCTCAAGATCTATTGAGGAAGTGGTGAAGCGTAAACAGACTATGGTTTCTTTGTAAAGACAAGCATTGTCTGATTGTTTTAATTATAGACTAGAATCTTCGAGTAAAAATGTCTCTAAAGAAAGTGTGTATTGATTAAAAATAATTATTTGTACATTTGCAATTTTAAAGATATTTAATCCACTCTTTGTCTTACTAACATCATATGGAAATAGTGGCTAGTTGAGAGATCAGTAATGAAGTTTAGGTGGAATTTTTAATTAATATTTTGATAACCGATAATTCGAAATTACACACATACTCTCTCTAGACGTATTTGCTCGAAGATTTTAATGATAAAATCGACATTTTCAGTATTAAAATCTTCTGCTACATGTTTAAGGCTGCTTATTTTAATATTCTACAAATTACGTTTTAAAATAGGTACGGAAATTTAAATGCCCACCATTTAAGCCAAGTTTACTAGAGACAGAGTATAAGAGATAAGTATAAGTGAGGTTAAAATCATACTCTTTGTTTCACTCACAGTCCTATTATACCTTGTCCAATTCATTGTAAAATAGAAGGTGTGCGTTTATATTTTTGTACCTATAAATAAATGACTCGAATTCGTTTTTTTATCTTTAGCTAATTTCCAAAGTTTTCATATAGCAAATGTCTAGTGGTTTTTGTTGATACTTTATAGTTATTGTTTTTACTACTGTATTGTTATTGGCAATAAAAAAGTTGTTATAGATATGAACGTTCGTTTTTTTTATAACACCTTTCAAAAATTTAATGTTTCTTACATAGATTAAACGTACAATTGGGTCCCCTCATCAAATAGTCATTCAGGGTAACGCAAAATCGATGGATTTATAATCTTGAATATCTCGTAAACGGCGTAAGATTGAGACGATTGACAGATAATCTATCTGTTTTGCTCTACGTTTGTGTAAATTTAGAGAATTATTCGATAATTAATAACTGAGGAAAATTAAAAAAACAAAACCCTTATAAATAAAAAATCCACCCAGTAATTTTCCTTTTTGTCTTTGATATGCACATTTTTGGCGTATGTATGGAACGTCAGGATCTCAAAAATATACTCTGTTCCCCTCTAACAGGGCTAGTTAAAAAGTTGGAGGTCATTTCTTAAAAAGTATCCAGCATAGAGAGACGCAGACACCAGCAAGACATTTTAAACCGTTTACTGTAACGTAGTGCCAAATTTTATGAAGATCTGAGCAGAAATAATATTTTTCCATACTTACTCGATTTCCGTTTCAAACTACTAAAAGTTGCAATTTCGTTGACAAAGTTTTGTTATCAGGATAGCAGAAGAGCGAGGAGATATTTTGGTTTCTCAATCGAATTACTGTAAAATTCACGGCAACGCAAAATTAAGTTTCTTCACTAAATTGTCATTGCCATTCAGGGTAACGCAAAATCGACGGATATATAAACTTGAATATCTCCTAAACGGCTTAGGATAGAGACGAACTTCAAAGAACACTCTATTGTATCCGTTCGGCTCTACGTTTTGAGCATGTTTAGAGAATGATTTGATTATTAATAACTGAGGAAAATTAAAAAAAAAATAATAAAACCCTTGTCAATAAGAAGCAACTGAATCCGCCCCTTAATTTGCATTGTTCTCTTTGATATGTAGCCAAATTTTCATTGAAATCGGAGACAAAAAAAATTTGGAAGGCTATAATACCCTTTCCTTTTTTTATTCGGGAAAAAAAGTTATAAAAAATCGGCGTATGTATAGAATGGAACGTCAAGATCTCAAAAATATACTCTGTTCCCTTCTAACGGGGCTAGTTAAAAAGTTAGAGAACATTTCTTAAAAAGTATCCAACATAGAGGTAGTGCCGAATTTCATGAAGATCAGAACAGAAATAACATTTTTCCATACTTACTCGATTTCCGTTTCAAACTATGAAAAGTTGCAATTTCGTTGACAAAATTTTGGTATCAGGATAGTAGAAGAGCGAGGAGATATTTAAGTTCCTCAATCAAATTACTGTAAAATTCAGGGTAACGCAAAATTAAGTTTCTTCCTTTTTTTTTTGGGAAAATAAAAGTTTAAAAAAATTGGCGTATATATAGTGGAACGTCAAGATCTCAAAAAAAACTTTGTTCCTCTAAGACTAGTAAAAAAGTAAAAAAGATATTTTAAATCGTTTACTGTAACGTAGTGCTAAATTTCATGAAGATCAGAACAGAAATAACAATTTTCCATACTTACTCGTTTTCTGTTTCAGACTACCAAAAGTTTTGGTATCAGGATAACAGAAGAGCGAGGAGGTATTTTAAAAATTGCGGAAAAATTAGGTTTCTCAATCAAATTATTGTAAAATTCAGTGTAACGCAAAATTAGGTGTCTTCATCAAATAGTCATTGCCATTCAAGGTAACCCAAAATCGACGGATTTATTAACTTAAATAGAGCAATCTAATCTATCCGCTCAGCTGTACGTTTGGCTTGTGTATAGAATGGAACGTCCAAGTACATTTTTTTGATTTTATTGAAGCCTTATTGGTGTTTCGGGTTTAAATAATTGTAATAATTTACAAGAGAAAGTGACTAGTTTCGGTCACTAACCATCATCAGGGTTTTTCCTTTACGACTATACCACATTTGAGATATGGATGATCTTATTCAATTTACCATATATTTGTTTTGAAAAAACTGTGTTTCCTTTAGTTTGTTGCAGAGGTTCCTCAGGCTCTGTTATTAAGAGTAAAATGCCCTTATACGGTTAATGGCTGTTATTTTGTGATATAAATTTAGATGCAAATTAAAAATAAACAGATGAAAACAATCTTGTACTATTAATTATAAAATTATCTTTGAAATCTATTCACTATATTTTAAAATTATAAAAAAATACGATTCTATTTTTCGTAGTATTTTTAACTAGAACCACATTACAAAAAACAGTTTTATACCGAATGAGCTATTATTAAGAAATCTGTAAAAAGCTTTAAGAATATTGAAGTTTATAATTACTTTTTCCTGTATACGATTAAACCACCTACAAAATCAAAATAAGCAAATATATGACACACTATAAGTTGGTAAGCATAATAAATAAAAAAGAGGTAGATTAAGAAAATTAATATTTACTCTCTAAAATTATTTGTTTTTCAAGATAAGAGTAAAGAAAAAATACCTGCGTTTAACACTTTAGTCTTCTATTACAAGTTAAAAGGTGACAATGGTGAATAAAATGAATCTCCGTACATTAATTGTTGTCTTAGGTAACACACTTTTAAAATATAATAATTAAGGAATATAATATTTACGTGTATGTTATAAGATCTCAGTACGTGCATGTTATTGTTAAATGTCATTTACAAGGAATGTTGACAATGCGATTTTTAACGTTTACAGACATGGGCGTAGAAAAAGGATTGTTCAAAACTGTAGGAATTAGGTTTTTATTAGTGTACAATTCGCTTCTTAGAAGAAAAATTACATCTGATTTATTAAGATCACAGAAATGAAAGAAAGAATTATAATAACTCCCAGAAGACTTCCTACAACCACTATGTATAATGTACAGAGTGTTTCGTAACCTCTCTGAAGAAAATAAGGAGGAGAATTCTCATCTAATTTTAAGATGAAAATGTAGCATACAATTTTTTAGAACGTTTCTTCATTTTTGATTATTTATTTTTGCGAAATTATGGTACTCGTTGCACGGATCTCCGCCAGAGTGAACTTGAAAAGTTAAAAATAGACACAAATATGCTAAAAACCCCTTATTATGTGTACCAAATATCACTGGAATGTCGTTTGCCACTAATTAATAATAAAAGAAAAACGCCTTAAATTTTATCATTTCGAAAACGAAGCGACATTCTAAAGAATTTAATGCCCATGTTCATCCTAAAATTCTCCTCCTTCCTTCTGTCAAAAATTGAATAATACATAGGGTGTCTCATTTAAAAACATAAATGGACGTAATTCCCCTGGCAATGCTGCAAAACGTAATGAATAATTCCGAATCATGAATTTCACGATTTTCAAAAAATAAAAGCATTAACAAAATAATAAATTTATTTATAAAACTTTTCCAGAATTTTTATAATCGCTCGTTATTCTGTTTCACTCTGTATTTGATCAAATAAATTCTTCTTAAAATGATGTATCAAGTCAACAAATTAAATCACAAATAGAATTTCGTAAGTTATGAGTAATAGATTTTTTTTGCTGAAGTAAATCATTTTATCTTTAAACACTTTAATCTATAATCTTTAATAATTGTCACAATAAATACAATTATAGAAAATATTTCTGTTCAAATAAAGGTATTGGGACACAGCATATACCGAGTGGCCACGCGAAAACTTTAAACGGAATTATACATAATATATGGTGTTTTAATAGATATCAACTTGAAATTTTGGAATGTCATTAAGGAAGTAGGGAGACGCTATAAGCATCTTTTTCAAACATTTAAAACGGCATCACTAGGCGAGGAAAAAATCCTAATGTTTACATTATTGTTATCTGCAGCTTTAAATAATAGTAGATAATCAATTATGGTTATACAACGGATGCTGATCAAAACTATGCAAATTGTAAATATGTTTTTATTTATAATCGACTTGTAAAACTGAGGACACTACACATTCTGCTGAAATAAGATTGATATTTTAAAGAAACAACTTTTATTATTTGCTCACATTAAAAACAAACGTGTAACACATCCATAGAGGGATACTGTGGTCTTCTTTAATTTTTTTTTATCGCTAAACAAACATATTTGTAGGTCTTTCTGGTCCGCGCATAAACAAGTCTTTTTTTAAGAGAATAATTTTAATATAGTCATCAATATATGTTACAATATATTTTACAAATCCCGATAGCGTGGGGGTAGGTAAATAATTATGACATCATGTTCAGTATCGTCTAGCACACTGTCATAACTTTTTGATAAGCCGAGAGCTCTTTGATTGGATAAACAGGACATTTTAAAATTCGAAGCGTGAACAACCCCTGGAATTTAAATACGGAAAGTACTAAGGTAATTTTATAAAAAATTCAGTAATTAGGAAAAAAATATGT